TTGCCACTGCCCATGTCAGTGAGTCCCAAAGCCATAGGGAATCTTGGAAAATGTTAGGGTTTCAGGCAAACCTTTTTGTACTACGAGAGAGACTGCCCACCTCCTCTTGCTGGAAGGACCACCTTTTGCTTCGAGATTGTGCCTTTACTTTTGGAAAATGTCTTTTTCTACGTTGAAGGTAACAACAACTGGTAATGACTGTACATGGAAAGAGAATCTGGCAACCGGTCTTGTCTTTGGAATTAACTTTACAGCCGACACCAAGGTCTGTCACTCAGCGGGGTACACACGAATCCTGAAGGAGTCTGCATCTAAACCCAGACAGGAAGGAACTCCTCCTGGGAAGCTGGTAGGCTTCAGGGAGACAAGGGCTGGGCTGGGCGAGTCTCCTTGCTGATCGCCCCCTGTGTATCCAGTGATCGCTGTTACAAAGGCTCTCTTCCTCCCCAGTGCTGAGACTGGGCAAAACTGAACTAGAAACACACAGGTTAAAGGAAGAAACTACAATGACTTTTGTAATTTTTCCCACCGCTCTCATCTACATTGTGCCAGAAGTACAGTAAAATCCAATCTAGCTTCTCTGTTTTGTGAGGTAGAGTTACAGAGAGAGAGTGAAAGACAGAGAGAAAGGTCTTCCATCCTCTGGTTCACTCCCCAAATGGCTGCAATGGCCAGAGCTGGATGGATCTGAAGTCAGCAGCTTCTTCCAGGTCTCCCACGTGGGTGCAGGGGCCCAAGGACTTGGGCCATCTTCTACTGCTTTCCCAGGATATAGCACAGAGCGGGATCGGAAGTGGAGAGGCCGGGACTCGAACTGGTGCCTTATGCAATGCTGGCACTGCAGGCAGTGGCTTTACCCACCACGCTATAACGCTGGCCCTGCCTTACTTCTACTACTCCAAAAACCTCCAAAATTCTCCTCCCTCAGTTCTCTGCCAGTCCTTTCCCTTTCCAAATTGTACCTCCACTTCAATCAGCCTGGGGATTCATGCTGAACTGCACAAGGAGTGCACATTCCACAGTTAAGACTTCAAGCCAGATGCTGAGCTTGCAACTCCACTTCCTGGGGCTCTCAGCCCTCCTCCTGCCAAGTGTGCTCCACCCAGTGTGCCCCACCCCTCACCTTCTTCCTCAGTCTCTTCCGGAGGCTATTTTTCTTTTTGTGTGCGATTACTTTACCGTTTTTATTTATAGGTTCCTCTATTAAAATGTAAGCTATATTCTGTGTCTGACATTCAATAGGCACTAAGGGAAATGTTTACAGAATTATGTTCAATGGGAGGATTTTGGGGGTGGGCACTTGGGGCAGTGGTTAAGCTGCTGCTTGGGCTCCCTGCATCCCATATCAGAGTGCCCGGTGCAAGTCCCAGCGCCCCTGCTGCCAATCCAGCTCTCTGATACTGCAAATGGTGGGAGGCAGCGGATGATCTGCCAAGTACTCAGGTCCCTGCCTCCCACATGCGAGACCTGGACTGAGTTCTAGACGCGTGGCTCCAGCCTGGCTCAGCGCCAGCTGTCACTGCACTTGGGGAGTGAGCCAGAGGATGGAAGCTCTCTCCCTCCCCCACACTTTTTCCTCCAGAAACTTTTTAAGGAATACAAACTTCATGCATGTCATAAACACAGCTTCAGGACACAGTGATTCTTTCCACTGTACCTGCCCTCCCACCCACACTCCCAGCCCTCTTCCTCCTCCCTCTCCTATTCCTTCCTATTCTTAACTAAGATCTATTTTCAATTAACTTTATACACATACGATTCACCCTATACTAAGTAAAAAGTTCAACAACAAATGGAATAAAAAAAAAGCTACTTTTCTACTTCAAGTTGCCCTTTGATCAACTATATAAAACTCCGAAAAGTTTTATCCCTTTTAGGAATGATTACTGCCGAAATGTCTAATGGAGGCACTGACTGCACCAGGACGGTATTCTGTTGGAGCACATGAAGGACAAGCAGGGCCATTCTTCCAGTCCACACGCTTCTCAATCTACTGCAATGGCCTCGGGAAGGGGGCAGCGGGAAATAGCGACAAAATCAGGGCTGGCGCTGTGGCAGAGCGGGTAAAGCCGCCCCCTGCAGTGCCAGCATCCCATATGGATGCCAGTTCGAGTCCCGGCTGTTCCACTTCCAATCCAGCTCTCTGCTATGGCCTGGTAAAGCAGTGGACGATGGTCCAAGTGCTAGTGAGAGAACTGGAAGAAGCTCCTGGCTTTGGATCAGCCAAACTCCAGCCGTTGCAGCTATTTAGGGAATGAACTAGCAGATGGAAAATCAATCGATCTCTCTCTCTCTCTCTCTCTGCCTCTGTAACTCTGCCTTTCAAATAAACCTTTTAAAAAATCTATTTACAAAGTCTCCAGGAGGAGAAGTCTCTAGGCTGAGGAACAACAGAAGACAACAGAAAGATCAGAAACTTGGTGGTGGGAGGGGCCGTGGCGAGCAGAGTCAGGGCAGCTATGTCGTGTGTCCTCAGGAGATGGAGGCACCGGGAGAGCTGAGCTATGACGTCACGTGGTCCCAGGGGTCCCAGCAGGGCAAAGCACTGCTCGTATCTCAGACAAGGCTGAGACCCTGGTGGAGGAAGCTGGGCTGGAGAGGGAGAAATGGGAAAACATTTAGAGACCCACAGCAAGAAATGAAGAGTCCAGTGAGGTCTGCCAGCTTCCTGTCGTTTTGGGAGAGTTTACTGAGGAGTAAACCCTGCTTTGGAAACCCACTGACGTTAGCTTTCCTTTCTTTGCACACAGTCTCTGACCTACAACTCTTAGCATTTCCAGCATGTGCATCGCTTCTTATTGCCAGCAGGGTCTGGGGCAGACATATCCACCAATCAAGCACCGTAATCTCCTCTATGGAACTTATGAACGCTCACCCAGTGAGATAAATAGAGACATGAACAGCCTCATGCTGCGTGAGGTTCTGAGGCCAAGTAGGGTAGCCTCCGAGTTTTCTGGATTTCACGAACAAGGATGAACAACTGTGGAGCCATATGAATAAGGTGCTCCTCCCCACTCCAAAAGCCAGGATATAATTGTTTGGATAACCCTGGCTTAAGTGTTTGTGACTTTTAAAAAATTTTAAGATTCAAAAACCCAAAAAATGTAGCAGTGATGAAGTCTACAACTCATGACAGAATCGTTGCATCTTAAATTAGTCATTAAAAGAAATGCATTGCCTTATTTTATTGTCATTAAACATTTCCGTAATCACACAGAACACATTTAAAGTAATCGAAGTTTCACCTTTCTCTGCAGAACCACCAGAACTGTGCCTTACATCTGCAGAAACGAACCCTGTGGAACACACTTCTAAGGTACGTAGTCGATTTGTGACTTTGCGTAAGTAATCGCATCGCAGGAGGAGGGTACATGGCTAAGCAGGCGCCCGTGGCAGCATACCTCTGAATTCAGGTGTGAAATGAAGAGTCTGCAGCAGAGAATTGAGGTAACAAGTTCCACCCTGATTCCTGATTCCGCTCAAATTGGTGAACTCTCTGGGAGCAGGTGGCTCCAATGCTTTAGGCTTTAATTTCTTCCCTTTTCCATACTGATTATTGGACACACTGGAATAATCCTCTTCAAATAGGTCCCCAAACATTGTGAAACTAAAGTACTGCCTTAAAAAAAAATGAAATGTTACACCGATGCTTTTATATCCAGAATAAATTCCCCTCTCACAGCCCTCCCTAGCTCTCGGGAATATCCACTTTGTTCAACTGTTCCTTGGGGGGCGGCACTGTGGCGCAGTGGGTTAATGCCCTGGCCTGAAGTGCTGGCATCCCATATGGGTGCCGGTTTGAGTCACGGCTGCTCTATTTCCGATCCAGCTCTCTGCTGTGGCCTGGGAAAGCAGTAAAAGATGGCCCAAGTCCTTGGGCCCCTGCACCCATGTGGGAGACCCGGAGGAAGCTCCTGGCTCCTGGCTTCGGATCGGCACAGCTCAGGCCATTGTGGCCAATTGGGGAGTGGATGGAAGACCTCCCTCTCTCAATCTGTGTAACTGACTTTCAAATAAGTAAATATTAATAAAAAAAAATGCTCCTTGGAAAATGTGCACAATTTGGGTTTTGGAGGCAGGCAGCGGGATCTGGATCCCCTCCCCCACCAGAATACTAAGTAGCTGTGGGATATTTAACTATTTCAACTATTTTCGTGATAACGTAAACTTTGATACTGCAGGAAACAAAGGCACCAGCGCACAAGCTCTGGCCCACAACGAGCGGCTGCTGTTCTTAGCGGGGGGCACATTCACATCACTAGTGGGGGGAAGCAGAACCCACCGCCCAGCGAGCCCACTCGCGGCCGCCCAGAGCAGACGCGGGGCCGCGGGCCCAGCGCGCACTCGGGAAATCTCGGCTTCCCGCACTCCTCACGCCCCGGCGCCGGGCGCGGGCGCGGGCGCAACGGGTCAGCTTGACTTTTAGGAATAGTTCAGCGGCGCACTGCCCCGAGCCCAAGGCCCCTCCAAGTGCACCACGGACCCCAGCAGAGGCCCGGGTCCCGGGTGACCGGCGCAAGTCTCCCCGCCAGCGGGAGGTCCCGGGGCGCCTGCCCGCAGCGAGGCGTCAGGAAGCGCCGAAAAGCGACTATTCTCAGAAAAACCAAACTCAGGAGCCTGGTTCCCAGCCTCGCGGTCTGGATTCCCCACACCGCGGCCCGGCCCGGGGTTCGCCCAGCCCCCCAAGAAGGCACAGGTCTCCGTGGCCGGAGACCACCGACCCGACCCAGCCAGGCCCGGCCTCCGCCCCCTGAGTCCCTACGCTTTACCACACGCCTCCCGGGATCCCCGGCGCCGCCCCCCACTTACGGCCTAAAGCCCAGACCCCAGCCCCGGCCAAACCGCGAGGCGAACAAACCCGCCCCAACTGGGCGCTGCCATGCTGGCGAGGGCGGGTCTCGCGAAGCCGCGGAGGCAGCGCGGACTACGTCTCCCAAGGTGCCCCGCGGGGGCGCCGCCCGCCGCGCTGGGCCTTGTGGGAAATGTAGTTCCTCCGCCCGCAGCGACGGGGGCCGCGCTCGCTTCCGGGTCCGGGTCCGGGTCCGGTGTCGGGTTCTGAGGTCGCTCCCTCACGGCTACTTGTGTTGCTGGTCACGGCCCCTAGTAGCCGCAGTGGGCTGCTCTGGGCTACAGAGCGTCGAGGTGGGTGGGACTAGGTGCCGGAGTGAGCCAGGGGCGTTTTCAGGGAGGCAAAGGGGGAGACGGCTTCTAAGGGTACAATGAGGTAAACACAAGTTGTTTTGACATCAGGAGGACACTGAAGTGCGTTAGGGAGTCCGTGCGGCGGGCCGGCGTCCTTGTAACTTACCTCGACAGTGCCGGGCAGAAGTCCCTTTTGCGTCAGGTTGTGGTGGCCTGGTGAGGTTGAGGCGGTAGGCAACGGTGCCCGAGACCCTCCCTCACACGCGAGCGCCCCTCCCCCGATTCCGACAGCCTTCCTACTGCTTTCGTGACAGGAAACAGCTCGCCAAGCACCTGGAAGCCCCTTTCCGAGTTCCCTCCAGCGCACAGGCTGTGGGAGGACAGTCTGCATTGGCCCGAGGCTCGGTGACCTCAACGTGCGTCTCCACAACCTGTAAGTAGCGGAGCGAAGAATGCACCAAAAACATCTCCACAGCATCGCTCCTGCGCCTGACCACGCCGTGGGCTGCTTCCGCAGCCAGCGGGGGCTCTGCTCTGGTGGTTTCCTGGTCCAGGTCAGCCTCCGTCCGTCCAGGAGTGAAGGAAGGAGGCAGAGAACATAATTGCAACTTCACTGACCGTTCTGAGAGGTTGAGAACGCGATGGTGGTAGATGGAGCTAAAAAGGCCGGAGCCCACTAATCCTCCGCCCAGCAGCGCCGGCACACCGGGTTCTAGTCCCGGTCGGGGCGCCGGATTCTGTCCCGGTTGCCCCTCTTCCAGGCCAGCTCTCTGCTGTGGCCAGGGAGTGCAGTGGAGGATGGCCCAAGTGCTTGGGCCCTGCACCCCATGGGAGACCAGGAGAAGCACCTGGCTCCTGCCTTCGGATCAGCGCGGTGCGCCAGCCTCAACTCGCCGCCGGCCGTGGCAGCCATTGGAGGGTGAACCAACGGCAAAAGGAAGACCTTTCTCTCTGTCTCTCTCTCTCGCTGTCCTCTCTGCCTGTCAAAAAATTAAAATAAATAAAAAGATAAAATAAAAAAAAGGCTGGAGCCCAGGTGGCTGGCAGGTGGAGCAATTGTATTTAGAACATCTGTGGGAGGTTGGCTGACTGGAAAGCCAAGAAGTGGTGCTAGGGAAAGACCTAGGTGCAGAGGACCAGTGAGGAGACGGGGCTGCAGTAGGAAGTGACGGTGGGAGCCCCTGCCAGCTCCCAACCGCCTTGGCTCTGCCACGTTGCCGCCTTAGCAGCCTCTTATTCCTGGCTCTCCTCCTTGGCTGCAGAGCGTCTTATCCTTGGCTCCTCCTTCTGCCCTGGGACTGCGTCTCCTTTGCTTTCTGTATTGCTTCCCCCTTGTTTGTAGCAGCGGACAGCCCTCCAACCTCTGTTTCCTAACCAAGAATGGCCCTGGAAGAGAAGCTCCGGGAGGACACGGGCTGTGCCTACTGGGCCACTGTGTCCCCGGCAACCTCAACCGTGCCCAGCTCTTTACAAGAACTTAAAAAATGTTTATTTAGTGAAAGCTGCTTCCTTTTTCATGGCTCCCTCTCTTCTCACAGAGCCCTCCTTGAGTCTCCCCAGCACGAGGATGACAGATGGGCTCCCACTCTATCCACCCTGTCCTCAATATCATGACAAGATCCATTTAAGGAGGGCTCTGAGGTCAGAATTCCCTAGCTAAGAAGCCTCATTGGTTGCCCAGCATCCACTGTGGAAACTCTGAATTTGAATGTTCTTGGTCTACCTTGATCCCAGTGCTGTGGGAGTGGAGAGTAGAAGGCAAAGGACTAGGTGCAGATTCTTCTGCAGCTCTGACAATGAACTGAATGAAGCTCACACAGATAAGTATAATAGCAAAGGCTTATTATAGGAAAAGAAAGTGTACTTCTTAAGAGAGTAGAAGAGGGCCAAGAACCAAAGCTCAGATTGCGGCTGAGACTTGAAACTTATGGGATACAGCAAAAGCAGTGTTAAGTGTTTATAGCAATAGGTGCCTACATCCAGCAATTGGAAAGGCACCAAATAAATGAGCTATTAATGCATCGCAAGGATCTAGAAAAACAACAGCAAACCAAACCCACAACTAATAGGAGAAAAGAAATAATTAAAATTAGAGAAGAAATCAACAAAATTGAATCCGAAAAGTTTATTTTTATAAGGGTTGACCATTCGTGTGGCTTGGAGATGCCTGGTATTGAGGTCTTCTGGCCTCTATCATAGTGCTATGTAGCTTCTCGGTGCAGGTTTCTCCAGCTTGCAGTCTGTTTTTCTCATCCTCCCCAATTAGCCCCTTTTGTCTCCTGCCTCAAGGTCTCCAATAAGGGAGACAGGGATCGGGAGAAAAATCAGCCTGCCTTGGCATCCCGAGTTAACCCTGGGCTGTCTCCTGCCTCATGTATTTCTCATTACTCACCTGTTCTCAAGTGTTCTCCAGGTGTGCCATTGCCTTCCTACTGAAGTGATATCCTGACAGTAGGGACTCCATCTTGAGAAGGCACCCCCCACCACGAGACCATGATCTAAAACTAAAAACTAAGACAATAGCAGCACACTAGACCCTGCCTGGCAGAACATAGACACTCCCTAGCATGATGGCTCAAGCTTAAAACAGATAGGCTGAACCTGGATTAAAGTTAAGATTATAATTTGTCTGTGTCCCAAGATATAATTGAAGTCCACTGGACTAATGTCAAGAAAGATTGTAACTGGACTTGTTAAGATTGTAACTGGTATTGTCAAGACTTTAATTGATAGTAGTTTTGCATATGTTTTAGGTCAGCTTGACCCTAGTAACCGTGTATTCCCCCTCCCCTCCTTGTGGTTTTTGCCTTTATTTATTTATTTATTTTGACAGGCAGAGTTAGAGAGAGACAGAGAGAAAGGCCTTCCTTTTTCCGTTGGTTCACCCCCCAAGTGGCCACTACAGCCAGCATGTTGTGGCCGGCATGCTGCGCCAATCCGAAGCCAGGAGCCAGGTGCTTCCTTCTGGTCTCCCATGCGGGTGCAAGGCCCAAAGATCTGGGCCATCCTCCACTGCCTTCCCGGGCCACAGCAGAGAGCTGGACTGGAAGAGGAGCAACCGGGACAGAAGCTGGCACCCCAACCGGGACTAGATCCCAGGGTGCCAGTGCCGCAGGCAGAGGATTAGCCTAGTGAGCTGTGGTGCCAACCCAGTTTTTGCCTTTATAAACCCTGTTGCTATGAGCTTTGGAGTTGAGAGTTCTTTAGGGCATGAGCCCACTCTCAACTGCTGGCTTGATAAAGGACTCATTCCAAATTCTCAATGTGTGGCACTTCTCTGTGACTCGCTTCAGGTACAACACTACCTCTGTCACTTACGTATCTTCTCTGCAAAGCATGTCTTTGTCTTTGGTCCTCGTCCCAGTCCTGTTCAATGTGAAAGCCAACATCAAATTATAACTCATCCACAGACATTTTCTAGAACTCTCCAAACAAGAAGTGGTCTTTCTTTTCTCTAAGGCTCCAGGAAAATGTGTCTCTTATGTGTCGCTCCCCCTCTTCATGGAGGAACGACACAGGACCCTGCGTTGTTCTTTTGTCTGCTCGGCCCTTCCTGGGTTTGCTGCTGGTTCTTCCTGGGTTGGCTACCGTCCCTCCACCTCCGTGGAGGGGCGGTGTCCCCTGCCACTTTCCCCACTTCCGCAGGGGAGCGGCACACCGCCGGCCGGCTCTCTCGGGGGCTGCTCGGATGTTCCTCAGGTGTTCCTTCAGATAGATGTTCCCCTTAGATGTTTTCTGGTGCATGCCGTCTCTCTCCTCCTTTACAGTCCTCCTCCGCCAATCCCAACTCGGCTGCCCACACGCCGAGTATGCTGCTCTCCTCCAATCAGGAGCAGGTCCTGCTGTTTATTGGTTGAACTGGAGGCAGCTGGGTAGAAGCTGTTTTCTCCTCTCCCAGCGCCATATTGTGGGAGAGCAGATGCATAGAATAAGTCTTAATTCCAGTAATTTAGTCTAGTCCGGGTTGCTCCCCACAGATCCCCCTTTCTTTTTATTTTTTGGCGTTGATACGCGCCTGTCTTCGGTGCCCCGCAGTACACACTCTGCTCTGCTTGCTAGAGTTGCCACAGGTTCTTACAAGTCCTATGAATCAGGCAAACCGAATCCGGGTCCTCTCTTCGCCATGTTGTGAGGAGGTTTTTAGGCGCTGATGCGTGCCTGTGTTCGGTGCCCTGCAGCGCATGCTCTGCTCTGCTAGAACTGCCTGCAGGTGCTTAAACCGAATCCAAGCCTTCTCATTGCCATATTGTGGGGAAACTTATTGGTGTTAATTCGTGCCTATCTTCGGTGACCTGCAGCTCATACTCTGGTCGAGCTGCCTGCTGGTGCTTACCGCCTTACTAATCAGGCAGACCGAATCCAAGCCTTCTCATTGTGGTATTGTGGGGAGGCCTTATTGATGTTAATTCGCGCCTGTCTTCGGTGACCTGCGGCGCATAAGCTGCTAGCCGCCCGCAGGTGCTCACCGCCTTCCTAATCAGGCAGACCGAATCCAAGCTCTCTCATTGCTGTGTTGTGGGGAGGCCTTTCTCTATTCCTCTATCTCCGGGCATTCCTATCTCTCCCATTTTACTTCTATCTACCAGCATTCCTATTTCTCTCATTTTACTTCTAAACTTCTGTTTCTCTTATCCCTGCGGCTTCCCGGCGCCTGCCCCGAGGCTGCTTCTCGGCGGCTTCCCGGCTCTGAGCCGCCTCAGCCCGCGCTTCTCCCATCTGCGCGGCTTCCCAGCTTTGTGCGCTCCGCGGTCTCCACGCCCTTCGCGTCCGCACCACGGCCTCGCACCAGCCCCACGTTCCCTGTCTATTCACGCCCCGTGCTCTCTCTGCACACGGCGGCTTCCGCGAGTCACACAGCCCCAGCTCACGTTTCTGCCACCACCGGCATTCAGTCCAAGTTCCCCGGACTAACCTGGCGAATTCAACCTAGCTCACGCGTCTGCGCCTTTTGGTCTGGCTTCCCGTCCTTTGCTCCTCAGGCTAATCTGACGGATTCCAACCTAGCTCATACGTCTCCGCCTCTAGTTTTAGATTTTCGCCTTTTGCTCCCCGGGCTGACTTGACGAATTCCAAGCTGGCTTGTGTTTCCGCCTCGGCCTGCCCCCGCGGCTACATCCTCCCTAACATATTTTTCTCTACCCGGTATGTTTCCCTAAGTTTTCTTCCAACAATATTCCTCCCTCATTTCTCCTGGCTTCTCTCCACAGTCCGCATCCGAGTCTGTTTGTTCTAGCTTTCACTTTCGCCTTCGACCTTAGAGATTTCTCCCAGCTTCCCCCCGTAGTCCGTATCTGAGTCTATGCCTAGGCTTTCAATAGCTTCTTCTGGCACCTTTTTCGTCCGGCTTTCCCCTAGGCTGTTTGCTAGTCTCTCTCTCCGGTATTTTCCCATTTCTTCCCGTTTCTTCCCTCCTAAGTTTCCTATCCGAGTCACGGCACCATTATGTCGCTCCCCCTCTTCGTGGAGGAACGACACTAAGCCCTGCCTAGGCTTCATATCCGAGTCACGGCACCATTAGGTCGCTCCCCGTCTTCGTGGAGGAACGACACAGGACCCTGCGTTGTTCTTTTGTCTGCTCGGCCCTCCCCGGGTTTGCTGCTGGTTCTTCCCAGGTTGGCTACCATCCCTTCCACCTCCGTGGAAGGGCGGTTCCCCCTGCCACATTCCCCACTTCCGCGGGGGAGCGGCACACCGCCAGCCGGCTCTCTCGGGGGCTGCACAGGTGTTCCCCTTAGATGGTCCCCTTAGATGTTTTCTGGTGCATGCCGTCTCTCTCCTCCTTTATAGTCCTCCTCCGCCAATCCCAACTCGGCTGCCCACACGCCGAGTATGCTGCTCTCCTCCAATCAGGAGCAGGTCCTGCTGTTTATTGGTTGAACTGGAGGCAGCTGGGTAGAAGCTGTTTTCTCCTCTCCCAGCGCCATATTGTGGGAGAGCAGGTGCATAGAATAAGTCTTAATTCCAGTAATTTAGTCTAGTCCGGGTTGCTCCCCACACTTATGTGTAGCTTATGTCTGTACAAAGTCTGTCTGATCATTTTGTTCCTACCACTACGTCAGGGACTATACATTATTCATGTACAGTCACTGTAGCTTCTGCAGCAGTCAACACTAAACATCAGTTGCAGTCTCTCTGATAACACTGGTAGATGGCTGTATAGTCTACAGTGAAATTTAATATCCTTTTTTTTTTCATTTGTTCCATTTAAGAGTTAAATCTACAGAGCCGTTGACCAGACTGTGGACCTAAGAAGGTTTCACCCAAGTGTGAGGGTAATTGAAAAAGTTCGTGTAAAATGTACATTATGCAAACTCTGTGCATGGATTTTAGTTTTAAAAAAATTAAGTCAGCCAGGAGCTCCCTCTGGGTCTCCCACATGGGTGACATGGTCCCAAGTACTTGGACCATCTTCATCCCAGGCCATCAGCAGGGATCTGGATCAGAAGTGGAGCAACTGGGACTCAAATTCATGCTATATAGGATGCCAGCATCGCGGGTGGCTGCCCAGTCCAATACACCACGACACTGACTCCAACATGGATTTTGTATTTTTTTTGCACCAAATGACTTTTAATTCCATTTTTCATGAGCTTTCTGAAACATTCTCATATTCCCATCATGTGACAGGCTGCGTGAGAGAGATTTCCATTCCTTTTTAAGTGTTGTGAGTAGTTACTCCTTGAACAAGGCTTCCAAGTGTTGTAGGAAAGCAGGTAGCTAGCAGTGGAGCGAAGGCCTGATGGCACCTTGCAGACCCTGTCCAAAAGTGGGGTTGATGGTTGGGAGCTGCAGCCAAGCTGGAGTCTGCCAGCTCCGGCCCAGCTGCCCAGCAGTGTGGGTCTGTGATTGACATCTCCAGCCACACCACCGATAGCTCCTCCCTATCCACAGAGGTCCTTGACTGACCGTTCCAAAAGATGGGCAGTTTTGAAGGCCATGGCTGACCTGCTGCGGACAGCTGCAGCCAGCCCGTGGGACAGCCTGGCCCGGCCAATAGGACAGGTTCCTTCCGTGCTCTGTCCAGGCTCCTTTGCCTTCCTGTGCACTGGCCAGGCCTCCCTTTCTGTGCATGGCCCAAGCATCCATTGCATGCACCCAAACCCCTGAAGCCCCTGCCCCCTTGCCAAGTGTGGGAAGTCCAAGTCCCGCAGTGTGGCCAGCGTGCAACCAGCGCTACCTGGAAGTATCCAGCATGGATGCAGGATGCATCATCTCGTGACCTTTAGATCACTTTAATGTCATTACAATCAGATTACCATGGGGGTGGCACCCACTCCCATTGTACCCCTGAGCTCATGACACTGCCCATGTTTCCTAAAATGGGCGGGAACTGCTGTTATTCCCATTTAACTGATGAGAAGACTGAACTTCTGGGTGATAAATTTTACAAGACCAAACAGCAAATAACTCTCAGGACCAAGATGTGAATGCTGGCAGGCAGACCCCAGGGCCTGAGCTCTCCACTGCCGTCTGACGATCCTCCCTGAGCCCAGTGACTGTTTCCTGCCCGCCACCCTCCTCTCCCCTCCCCTTCTCCTTCTCTTCTTTCCTTCTGTTGCTGTATACACTCACACATGTATGCTTATTATTTATTCATTTATTTTTAGCACATTTCATGTGGCTGGTGCTGGGGACATTGCAAAGAGAGAGACAGGACTGTAGTCCACACTGCCACCTACCTACCCACATACTTCTCCCCTGCTCACTTTCCAACAGGCCCCTTTGCTGAAGGCTGTACAACCTTCCCTTCAATTCAGGGTTGTCCTGTCACACAGCTCTAGCCAAGAAACAGCCCCAAGACCTAACACTTACGTGGTGCTGCCTGCATGCCACACACTGAACATGAACTCGTTTGGTTAAATGCCTTCATCACCATTGTGAAGTATGTGCTATTATAAATAGAAGCCAGGGTGGGCATTGTGGTGCAGTGGGTTAAGCTGCCACTTGGGATGCCTGAATCCAATCTCTTTGTTCAAGTTCCAGCTTCTTGGTGCTTTAGATCCTGCTTCCTGATAATGTACCTGGGAAGTATCGGATGACTGTGCAAGTACTTGGACTCTTGCAACCCACATGGGAGTACTGGATGGTCCAGCCCAGATGGTTGTGGGCATTTGGGGAGTGAACCAACAGATGGAAGATATCTCTCTCTCTCTCTCTCTCTGTGTGTGTGTGTGTGTGTGAGAGAGAGAGAGAGAGAGAGAGAGACTCTGACTTTGAAGCAAATACACAAATCCTGAAAACAGTAGAAGTCATTGGGTGGGGCTTCTGGGAAAGTTCTTTTTTTAAAAAAAGACATTAATTGTTTTCCATTTGCCCCACTTTTTTTCCCACCTGAGATGTGGACCCAGTGGCTGGAATTCTAGCAGTCATTAAGAACATGAGGATGCAGATCTCTCCATGAAGACCAAAGGATCCAAGGTTCCTGATGACATCATAGAACTGCCATACTGGCCTTGGGGTACTGCCTCTTTGAAGTCACTGTTTGGTGGTGTTTCTCTGATGAGGTGTTCATAGGAAAACACAGTTCCTAAGCAGGACACAAACACTGACCTTGAGGAGCTCAGAGTGTGGAGAGAAGAAATATGCAAAGATAAAGTGAGGTAAGTCTCACTCATGTCATATTCTTTCCTTGCATGCATGACCTGCGTATAAATTAAACAGCAAAACCTTGGCGAGGTAACTGGTATGAGGTTTTCATTCACAGAGGTGTGTGGGTGGTGTTTCATAGAGGGCCACCCTGGAGTAAGGGGGGACTCAGGAGGTCACCCCTCTCAGGATATGATTTTCTCTTACTGAAGTCCAGGCAAACAGCCCCAGGGATGGATTGGTACAAGAAGGGGTAACCACAGGCTGCAAAACAGCCACAAAAGGATAAACACTGCATGATTCCCTTATCTGAGGCCCCTGGACCAGGCAAATCAGAGATAGGAGGTAGAAAGTGGTTGCCAGGGGCTGGGGTGTGGGACAAGGCGGGCGATGGGAAGTTACTGTTTAATGAGGCAGAGTTTCTGTTTGGGAAGAAGGAAAGAGCTGTAGACTTGGATGGTGGTGATGGTTGCACATTTGGTGCGTGCATTTAATGGCACTGAACTGTGCACTGCACAGTGGGTAAAATGGTAAATTTCATGTTGTGTATGCACTATCCCAATAATTGAAAAGGGCTTCGGAGCAGTCCATAAAACCTCCCCACTGCAGCCTTCGTGGATCTCAGCTGGCCTCCTGGGCATTGGCAAAGATAAATTTGCTGAGTCAAGAACACATGTGCAGATTTTCACAGGCTCATGCAACTTGTGATTGGAAAAGAAAGACCTGCAGCAAAAGGAATGAAGTTAAAAACAGGGCAGTTGCTGGTGCCAAGGCAGAGACGTCTGTGAAGGGAGTGCAGAAACTCTGGTTAATGCCAGGGGCGACCACGGCATGGATCAGAAAAAGCCAACCAGATGAGCGGATGAAGAACCTGCCCCATGAAAGAAAATGAAGTGGGGGAGGGTCAGACCAGACAGGTGCCGACCGAGGGGGGAGAGTTGCTCTTCATTTGCCCATTCATTCATTCCATCAACATTTAATAAACAAGTACTAAGTGGCAGGCATAGGGCAAGGTGCCTGAGATATAATATTGAATATAACCAACAGGTCCCTAAAATTAGGGAGCGCCCTTCCTAGAGAGGGAACCAAAGGCAGGATGGCAGCTCCAGTGGTGAAAAGGGACTTGAGGGAGAGAATGAGAGCTTGAAGGGGAGACAAGACGAAGGGCCAGCTGGGAGTGGGCTGTTTCTGATGTTGTGCCCAGCGTAGACTTCCAGACTAGCGAATGAGTGGTTGTGCAAAGAGCTCCAGAGAGCCCACCCTGGGCAGAGAGAATGCACGGACAAGGGCCGTAGGGGGAAGCCTTTGATAGTGTTAACATGACACATGGCACGGTGACTTCTGTTTGAAAGTGTGTCTCACCATCCCCCAGCCACCACCACCCCAGCCTCTGAGTACAGAAAGAATGAAGGCAGGAAGGCCAGCTAAGAGGCCATTCTGGAGCCCAGGCAAAAAATGGTGGGGCTTTGGGGAAGGGTGGTGCCCAGGGAGGTGGAGAGAGAGCACGGGACTGGGTGCTAGGTTCTGAGGTGGCCTTGCAATGAGGCAGCTGGGCCAGGCTAAATTTCCTGCCCCAGAATTCTCTTCCTCAGTGTTTCTGGTTAGGGTGGGTCAAGTGTGGTGTGAGCTGTGAGTTTCTCACAGATGTCCTTTATTAGGTTGAACAGATTTCCTTCTTTTCCTAGTTTGCTGAGAATTTTTATCAGGAATAAATTTTAGATTTTGTCAGATGCCTTTTCTGTGCCTGTTGAGATGATACCTGGTTACTTCTTTATTAACATGGTGTTTAACCTTGATTTATTTTCTTTGTGTGTTTTTTAATTATGGAAAAATGAGCACAACATAAAACATGCCACCGCTGGTCGTTTAAAGGTGAACAGGGATTATTCAGGGTGTTCATGCTGCTGTGCAGCCGTCAGCACCATCCAGGTCCAAGAAGGCCCCTCATTTCCTCTCCTCCCAGCCCCTAGTCCCCAGTCTACTCTCTGATTCTGTGGATTGGACTATTTTTAATACCTCATAGAAGTAGACCATGAGTATTTATCTTTCTGCATGTAGCTTCTTTCACTGGACATGTCCTCAAGGTTCACCCATGCTGTATCATGCGTCAAAATTTCCTTCCCTTTAAGGGTGAGTAATGCCCATTGTATGTCTGTGCCACATTTTGCCCATCCATTCATTTGTGGATGGGCCCTGGGGTGTCTTCTGTCTCTTGGCTGTAATAAGTAATGTTGTCAGGAACATGGCTGTACAACCTTGGCTGATTTCCTAATGTTAAACCAGCTTTGCGTTCCTGGGATAAACCAGGAATATTATTATTATATCTTATACACTATTAAATTTGATTTTATGCATTTTTTAATTCAGTTGGCTAACATTTTGCTTAGAGTGTTTGCATCTGTGGTCATGAGGGACTGTAGTTTTCTTTTCTTATGATGTCTTTATCCAGTTTGGGACTTAGGTAATGCTGCCCTCTTAGAAGAAATCAACAAATTCTGTTTCTGTTTTGTAATAGATTATGGGGAACTGGCATTATTTCTTTCTTCAGTGTTTGGTAGAATTCATGAATGAAGTTGTTTGGGTTTGAACTTTTATTTATGGGAAAGTTTGAATTACAAATTTAATTTCAATTTAAAAATGTAAGTTGTTTATATTTGGGTTATTGATTTGATTTTGCACAGACTCTGGTCACTTCTATCTTAAAGAATTTGTGCATTTCATATGATGTTCTCTTATCATTTTAATATTGGTGGGATTTGTGTTGGTATCCTCTCTCTCATTCCTAGTAGTGGTAATTTATTTCTGCTCTATTTTTCTGATCAGTCTGACTTGAACTTTATCAAGTTAATTGATCATCTCAAATAACCAACTTTTATTAATTTTTATATATTGTTTCTGTTTTCTATTTCATTGATTTTTTAAAAAAGATTTATTTTAGGAGCCAGCACTGTGGCTTAGCAGGTAAAGCCGCCACCTGCAGTGCTGGCATCCCATATGGGCTCTGGTTTGAGTCCTGGCTGCTCCACTTCCGATTCAGTTCTCTGCTGTGGCCCGGGAAAGCAGTAGAGGATAGCCCAAGTTCTTGGGCCCTTGCACTGTGTGGGAAGACCCAGAGGCAGCTCCTGGCTCCTGGCTTCAGATATGTACAGCTCTGGCTGTTGCAGCTAACTAGGCAGTGAACCGGTGGATGGATGACCTCTCTCTCTGCCTCTCCTTCTCTCTGTGTGTAACTCTGCCTTTCAAATAAATAAATAAATCTTTTTTAAGATTTATTTATTTATTTGAAAGGCAGAGTTATGTGGGGGGGGGGGGTGGAGAGAGAGAGAAGAAAATCTTCCATCCACTGCTTCACACTGCCCAAATGGCTGCAATGGCCATAGCTGTGCTGATCTGAAGCCAGGAGCCAGGAGCTTTTTCCAGGTCTCCCACGTGGGTGCAGGGGACCAAGTACCTGGGCCATCTTCTACTGTTTTCCCAGGCCATTAGCAGAGAGCTTGATGGGAAGAGGAGCAGCTGAGACTTCAACGGGTGCACATACGGGATGCCACAGTGCCGGCTTCACACAGAGGTATCTTAGTAAATGCTACTCATTTGTTTTTGCGAGTAAATCATTGGCAGTTGGTATAATTTTTTTTGAGTGTATGACACACATCCTTTCCTAGAGCAGGAGCAGGTTTTGTGTGTGTTTCCGCCGTATAATTACTATATTTTACAAGTTCAGACTCCAAGCAGCTGGGTTGCTCGAGGCTGCAGTTACTGATGGCTCCTGTCCTTGTGGCTGGCCTCCTTCCTCCATGGGCATGTCTGCTGCTGACTTCTGGTGTTCAAGCTGCTGGTGGTTCCCAAGGATGGGAGCTACTGGTTTACGAAGGGCTTGGTCATGGAGAAACTCATCCAGAGAGTGCATGAGTTGGTTGCAGTCACACCAGAAGTGAGTTGGCAACTGGCACAATCGTTGAATGGTACAGTGAAGACCTACGCAGTTGTCTTGTACTCTGGAAGATATGCCACAGTTCAGAGTCTTTGCCAGAGCTCCATGGAAACCTCCGCAAGGTTCCAATTCTACGTTAATGGACCCAGCCAGTCTTTTCTGGACTTTTTTCACATTGTAGGAGTTTGTTTTGTGACAAGAATTTAGTAGAATACTTCAAAGATTTTTTTTTTCTTTTGAAGATTTTTAAATTTATTTACTTGAAAGGCAGAGTTATAGAGAGAAAGAGAGAGGGAGAAAGAAGACAGAGAGAAAAAGAAAGAATCTTCCATCCTCTGGGACTGGGCCAGGCTGAATCCAGGAGCCAGGAGCTTCCTCCAGGTCTCCCACATGGGTGCAGAGGCCCGAGCACTTGGGCCATCCTCCGCTGCTTTCTCAGGCGCATTATCAGGGAGCTGGATCAGAATTGAAGCAGCTGGTTCTCCAACTGGTGCCCATATGGGCTGTTGGTGGAAACTTAACCTTCTGCTCTATAGCGCTGGCCCCAGAAAATTCTTTTGATGCAGTGTTTGTGGATCCTTTTGGTAAGTGTGCTCTAATTTTCATGCCCATTTGTGGGGTTCACCAGCCAGTACTGTGCTATTATCTTGAAGAAGGGACACAGCGCTCCAATTCTCTTTCTTATGTTCCCAGAAATTTCTTAAGTTTCTCAGATGCCATGACCTTCAAGGAGAGAGTTTGGAACCAAATATCTCACTTGCAGGAGCATTTGGTTTGCCCCTGTTTTTTCAAAAGACTCTCATAAATGGCTTCTGAAATTCTCCAGATGCCCGTCCCAGCATAGGATCTCTTCTCTTCAGCCGTGTGTCAACTTGGTGGTTATGAGCTGGCTGTGTTTTGGAAATCCCAGACCTATGCTGCCAAATATGATCTACATTAGTGGCATTAACTGCCACCAGGAGAAGACTTTGTCTAAGACAAGTTCTCTCTTTCGGCGTGTTAAAAATAATATGGCTTTGAACAGTGAATAGAAGATTCATTGCTCAAATGTGTTTTGTGACTTACATTCATTGTATTTGGAAT